GGCGATCCCCTACATGCCTTCCCTACGCACCCCTGCCACTTCACGTTCGCCCTCCAGTTTAGGCTCGGCCTGCCACTCTCTGTGCCTGACTGCTGTGACTACACCAAACGGGTCCCCATCCTGGACAAGAGGCGGCCAAACCACTTGCTTAGGTGTGGTACAGGGCACGGCCGGACCAACACCCACAACGAGCTGCGTGACGAGTGCATCCGCATGGCGCAGGATGCAAGATTCGCAGTGCACAAGGAGTGCACTGCCTTTAGCCCTGTGGACAACAAGAAGGCCGACTTGGCCTTCAGGGATGGGAGCTCGGGGGCGGGATGGCTGGCGGACATCACAATAACAGACCCCATCAGTAAGCGGGATGAGACCGCAAGGAAGGGGAGGAATTGGGCAGCACGGGAGGCAGCAGACAAGAAGATAGGCCTCTATCACGGCAGGGCTGAGTTTGCTGAATTTTTTCCTTTGGTGGTAGAGACCTACGGCTGCCCCTGTGATGATCTGCCCACCTTCCTGAAGCTGCTGGCAGACAAAGCTGCACGGAGAATCTTCAACGCGGACCCCTCTACCTACCAGGCCGCAAAGATGCTCCACCAGTTCCGCCAGCGCTGGTCGGTCGCACTCCAGAGAGCCCAGGCGGTGAGCTTTCTCACAAAGCTGAACCTGGCGGCAAGAGCAGAGAACCCCCCACTGGGAGGACCAGAGGGGGAGATGAACCCGGGGGACTGTTTCTCAACGCTAGAGGCACCTTAGAAAGGAAAGGGGGGGGGAGGGGGTTTGGGAGGGTAGAAGGGTGTGTGTTCGCTAGGTTTTTGTGCTCTGTCGGTTTGTGTTTGCTTGTCCCTGTTTGCTTGTCTCCATGCTAGATGTGCCCTGCCCTAGAATCTGCATGGTTGTACCGAGCCCCACCTATCAATACAAGGACCATTAGAGAGAGAGAGAGAGAGAGAGAGAGAGAGAGAGAGAGAGAGAGAGAGAGAGAGAGTGGTGGGGGAATGTACGGGCTAAGGGTGCTGCCCCTGCGGGCGCTTCCGACACGGGCGCCAACAAGGGAACGATCGCTTCTGCCCAAGCGACGCACTGTCCTTGGGGCCCTTGATCAAAACTGCTAGGAGTGTGACGCATGGCCTCATACACCGCCATCTGCAAGCCCGCCACCGCCTCCGCCGCCTCCGCTATGTTCCACATCCGGCACATGCCTAGCGTGAGATCTCTCCCCGCGCGGTTGGGGGGAGGTGCAGTTGTGGCTTCGCGCGGAAACGCCGCCACCCGGCCCAGGGCATGGCCAAGAAGGAACTGAGGTAGAGGCTCCCCGAGAGAGAAGGGGCCCTCGTGGGGCCCACCACGTCCATGTGCACAAGCGCGAGTGGTGCCTTGGCTGGTCCCGTGCTGCTGCTGAAGGGAAATTTCGTGAACTTGGTCTCAAGGCATGTTGGGCAGCTCCCAATCTCCTTTGCTGCCCCCTTCACCTCCAGCCCCTTCAAGCTCCCATCCTTCACCAACTTCTGCAGCATCGGAATGTTGATGTGGCACAACCTCTCGTGCCACGTCTCCCAATCGGCCTCACCACTCCCAGATGAAGCCTTTGCCCATGCAGCTGTTGCATCCACACCAGCAAGCACCTCACCATGTGATTGCTGTGACTTCAGCACCTTCTTGACTGCATCCAGGGCCCCATCAGTTGGTGCAGTCTCCTCCCGCAGTTGCTTTAGCCGCTGCTGCTGCCGTTGCCGTTGCTGGTGGTTTCCCGTTCCAAGGGATGATGGGCAGCTGCCACAGGTCCTTGATGCAGCTGCTCTTCTCCTCCAAATCCCACAGCAGCAACTTCCCAAGCTTTGTACGACAGCTGGTTGGGCCGAACGTAACTTTGGCCTTGCTTTTCTGCAGCCGGCGCACAGAGAGGAGGTTAGCGGACAAGCCTTCAACTAGCAGCACATGTCCCAGCCCCACAAGCTCCCCATTGGCTTCCATCACCTTGGCATTCCTAACACCCATCACAGGGAGCAAAGAACCTGAAGCGCCAGCCACAAACTTAATCTTCCTAGGGGGCTTTACCTCATCAAGCAAATCTGCCCGTGGGGTCATGTGACTTGTGCAACCTGAATCGATCACCCAGTGAGTGAGGGGGTGCATCACAACCTTTCCAACCGAACCCACATCACCCCCACTCTCTTTCACATCCTCAACCATCAAGAACATCCCAAGGTCAGCTTTACCTTGTGCACCTTCACCTTGTGCACCTGAACCTTGCACAGCGCCACCTCGTGCACGTTCACCACTTGGCGGCTTCATGCCTGGAGGCGCCCATCCTTCAGGCCGGCTGAAACACTTGAACCACGGGTGTCTAGCCTTCTTGCAGTACCAGCACGCACCCTCCATTCGGGTGCTCCCCCTGCCACCAGAGCTCCCATGCCCCTCGTTGTAGTCACCTCGGCCTTTCCCTTTGCCAAAGCCTCTCCCACGGCCTCGGCCTCTCCCTCCCCCTCTTCCTCTGCTTCCTCCTGCAGCTCCATACCCCTCAGCAGTTTTGTTGGCAGCACCACCTCCCGTGTGGCGCTTGCGGAAGTCCTCCTGTAGGATCTGCTGCCATAGCCACTCAGGCGTCCACTTGTCCTGCTGAACATTGAGGGTGGGGATGAGGTTGTCCCACGAGTTGTCGAGCACCGAGATGATCTTGGTGCACTGCTGCATCTCCGACACCTTGCTACCCACCGCTGCCATCCTCGCATAGGTGTCCTTGATCTTGTCAAGGACCGGCTTCACATCATCTCCCGATCGCATGGAGATGGCCGCCAGCTCCTTCTCGAGCACGATCACCATGGGCAGCGTATTGGGCTGAATCACGTCGCGTAGTAGCTTCCACGCCTTTGGACCGGAGTCGTCCAACTCAACCAAGTCCTTGATGTGCTGGAACATGTCGTTGTTGACCGATTGCAAGATAAGGTCGAACAACACCGCACTCCGCTCAATCCACTGATCCCGAGCATCTCCTTCGTCGGGAATTTTCTCTTCTCCCATCGCAAGTTTCAGCAGCTTGTAGCGCTTGAAGACGCTCCTCATCCGCCCACTCCATTCCTCGTAGTTGGAGCCATCCAATGCCTCAATCTTGGATGGTGGCGGCTCACTCCTCTTCTCAGCTGCATCTCCACTCCCTTGACTCATCTCCTCTTCTCACAATCAAAGGTTTCAGCTCCCCCCTTTGCTGGTCACAATGTAGATCCACAAAATTTTCACAAGTGTCGGCGCCAACGAAATTTCGGCAGAGTTTCCCCTTAGCGGAAGTCACTCCCAACCTCTAGAACTCCACTTAGGCACGCCCACAGGCCATGGTGGGTCTAAGAGGGTCTTCACACCTCAGTAGACTCTTCACAACGTCCTCAATCAGCTCTGATACCACTTGTTAGAGAATAAGGACGGAGTCTAGAAGGATTAGGGGCCGAAATATCTCAAAATCGTTGGTCTATAATTCTGGATAGAAAATTCGTCGTCACGAGAAACGCCGTCGACAACAACCTCACAGTTAGAATTCTCTCAAACTCGATTATGTTGTAGCATCAATTTGAATCGTATCAAAAGATGGAGTATAACTCGATTATCTTTCCCAATTTGAATCGTATCAAAAGATGGAGTATAACTCGAGTTATGAATTTCGACGCACTAGGGGATGAGCTGCCATGTTAACCAATCACAATAGTTCTCTGAAGTGACCAGAAAGAGGATTTGAATAGCAATCAACCAGGTAGGAGGGAAGAGGAGGACGAGAGGGAAGGTCCCCAAGGAGTCCCCAACCAAGGAAACCCCCATACCACACAATTCCCCTCTCTATAGGCACCCCAACTTTGACATTTGTCACTTTCCCAACCCATGCCATCCACCTCACCCAACTTGGCCACACTTCCCAACCTGGTTTGGCTTCTCCCAACCATTTGGCATCAACTACAGTAGAGTGACGAATTTTCCCAACCCCTAAAAGTCTATACCCCTGTCAAACATTATATGTTTATATGATTGTAGGCAGTAGTGGGTGATACCTTAGGGGGTACACTAGATTAGGGTTTCCTATTTGTATCCATCCTTCTGTTAGTACAGTCATTCCAGTCTCTTATTCTGACATGGTTTCAGAGCAGGTCCTTCGCTAGGACCGTTCTTAGGGCCCACCACTGAATACCTACCTACCTATCTACTGTCGGAGTGCTGCGTTAGCGCCTCCCCCTTTCAGCGCCCTAGTGCGCCCTCGTGTACGGCCCCGTTTGGCCCCGTCGACCCGCACGCGCCCCGCTTACGGCCCCGCTTGACCCGTCGACCCCGCGCGCGCCCCGCTTAGAGGCCCCGTTTGGCCCCGTCGACCCGCGCGCGCCCCGCTTAGAGGCCCCGTTTGGCCCCGTCGACCCGCGCGCGCCCCGCTTAGAGGCCGTGTTTGGCCCCGTCGACCCGCGCGCGCCCCGCTTAAGGCCCCGTCGACCCGCTTACGGCCCCGCTTACGGCCCCGCTTACGGCCCCGCTTACGGCCCCGCTTACGGCCTCGCTAACGGCCCCGCTTACGGCCCCGTCGACCCGCTTACGGCCCCGCTTACGGCCCCGTTTACGGCCCCCGCCTACGGCCCCGCTTACGGCCCCGCTTACGGCCCCGTCGACCCGCTTACGGCCCCGCTTACGGCCCCCGCTTACGGCCCCGCTTAAGGCCCCGCTTACGGCCCGACTTACGGCCCCGTCGACCCGCTTACGGCCCCGCTTACGGCCCCGTCGCGCGCGCCCCGCTTACGGCCCCGCTTACGGCCCCGCTTACGGCCCCGTCGACCCGCTTACGGCCCCGCTCACGGCCCCGTCGCGCGCGCCCCACTTACGGCCCCGCTTACAGCCCCGCTTACGCCGCCCCAAAACGGCCCCGCGCCGCCCGCACTGAGCAACTTCTCTGGACCTAGCCGCCCTACCCCTGTCGCGCTGCCCACTGCGTTTAGGACTCACTTCCTGCTACTGCTACGGCTACTCCTACTGCTACTATGGCTACCCCGCCTGTACTATCTTTCGATACTGAGGGCCGCCCAGTGAAGTTTGATACTTGGCTTGATGACCTGCACCTCTTCCTGCAGCTCACTGCCAAGGAGGATATCTCCCTGTATGACCACGCCCTCGGCCATGCTCCTGCCCCTGCTACTGATGCTGACAGCACTACCCGCTCACAGTGGCAGACTCGTGACGCTCACGCTCGCTTTGCCATCCGCAACTCCCTGCCGTTAGATGAGCGCGAGCACTTTGGCCAGTGCAAGACAGCTAGGGACCTCTACACCGCTGTAGTTGCCCGTTACTCCTCACCCGCTTCTGCTACGCTAGGCCGCCTCACTCTTCCCTACCTGTTCCCCGACCTAGCCTCCTTTCACACTGTCGCAGACCTCATCACCCACCTTAAGACTAGTGAGGCCCGCTTTCGCGCTGCTATGCCTGCCGAGTTTCTCACTAGCAACCCCCCCCCGCTCTGGATCACTCTCTACCACATCGTCACCCGCCTCCCTGACTCTCTGCGTGCAGTCAGGGACCACTTCCTCTCTCGCTCCCCCACTGAGCTCACTGTTGCCCTCCTCGAGAAGGAACTGCTTGCAGCTGAGGCGAGCATCGTCGCTGTAGGCACCTCTCGTGGCGACCCCCGCACCCCGTTCTTCGAGGGGTGTTCCCCTTCCCCCCTCCTCCCCTCTGTCGCCTCTGCTGCTGCTGTCGACCTCCTTGGTGCTGAGAAGGTCGGGACCGCGTCTGCTTCGAGCGGGCGCCGCAGGGGCAAAGGGAACAGGGGCGGGGGTGGCGGCGGAGGAGGTGGGGGTGGAGGCGGTGGGAGTGGAGGCGCGGCTGAGGAGGCTAGTGGCGGTAGTGGGGGAGGCGACAGCAGCGGCGGGAGTGGTGGCAGGGGCGGAGGCGGCAGCGGAGGCGGAGGTGGTCGTGGTGGCGGCAGGGGTGGAGGTGGCCGGGGCGGAGGCGGAGGGGGTGGTGGTCGTGGGGGCACTGGCGGAGGGCAGAGTCAGCAGCCCGCCCCGACGCTTCAGGCCGCCCGTGAGTGGTATGCGCAGCGTGGCTTTACCTGCACGTACGTCATTCGCACAGGTGACCGCACCGGCCAGCAGTGTGGGAGGCTGCACCCCACGCAGCGCTGCTTCGCCCGCCTTACCGACGCGTGGCGCACCCAGTTTCCTACTGCCACTGAGCTGCCGCGCTGGGCTGAGCTGGAGAAGAGGGGTGTTGATATTTGGGCTTTAGACTTTGATGCTATTCTCACTGCCATGTATGCGATGTCTATTAGTGGAGAGGGTGCTCAGTACTTGCGTGTTCCGCCCGACCCGGGCATTCAGGCCAGTCCGGCTGCCGCTCTAGGTGCTAGTGCGTCCGCTCCCGCAGGTCCTGGTGAGGCTTCTGCCCTAGGTGCTAGTGCGTCTGTGCCCCCTGGTACTGAGTCGACTGCAGCACTGCACACCTTCACCCTGGACTCAGGTGCTTCTCGCTCTTTCTTTCGTGACCGCACTGTCCTTGAGCCCCTCGCTCGGCCAGTTGCTGTCTCCCTTGCTGACCCCTCTGGGGGTCCGGTCATTGCAACCTCCTCCACTGTCCTTCCTTGTCCGGCGGTCCCGTCCGGCACGCTGTCCGGTCTCTACCTCCCCTCGTTCTCGACGAACTTGGTGGCAGGTAGTGCGCTCCAGGACGGGGGTGTTCACCAGTTCACTCCTGCCTACGAGCGCGTGACACACTGCACGTGTGCTCGGACGGGTCGCCACCTGGCTACCTTCACTCGGGAGCCGGGGTCGGACCTTTACACACTGACCACTGTGTCCCCTCAGGTAGCTGCGTCTGCGTCTGCGTCTGCGTCAGGTCAGCTGTCCGCCCCCTGCTCATGTCGCTCTCTGGCACATGAGACTGTCCTTTGGCACCACCGCCTTGGTCACCCGTCTGTGCAGCGCCTTCGGGCCATGCACCAGCGGGACCTTGTTGCTGGTCTTCCCAGGGTGCTCCCTCCCCTTCCCGACTCGCCTGCTCCTCCCTGTATTCCCTGTGTCGAGGGACGGCAGCGCGCCGCTCCTCACTCCTCCTCCTTTCCCCCGACGACTGCCCCCTTGCAGACGCTCCACATGGACGTGTGGGGCCCAGCCCGCGTCCGTGGTCAGGGTCAGGAGAGGTACTTCCTGATTGTTGTTGACGACTTCTCGCGCTACACCATGGTCTTCCCCTTGCGCGCCAAGGGTGACGTCCCTGAGGTCTTGATCCCTTGGATCCGCAGATCTCGTCTCCAGCTCCGTGAGCGTTTCCGCTCCGACTTCCCTGTCCTGCGTCTGCACTCTGACAGAGGTGGGGAGTTCTCCTCTGGCCTATTGGAGGCCTTCTGTCAGCAGGAGGGCATTGAGCAGTCGTACACGCTTCCGGACTCTCCACAGCAGAATGGGGTTGTTGAGCGCCGCATTGGTCTGGTCATGGAGGTCGCTCGTACCTCCTTGAGCCATGCGGCTGCCCCCCATTTTCTGTGGCCGTTTGCAGTCCGATACGCTGCGCATCAGCTCAACCTCTGGCCTCGTGTCTCCTTGCCCGAGACTTCTCCGACACTGCGTTGGACGGGAGAGGCTGGCGATGCGTCGCGTTTTCGGGTCTGGGGATCCCGAGCTTTTGTCCGCGACACGTCCGCGGACAAGCTCTCCCGTCGCGCTGTCCCCTGCGTCTTCCTTGGCTTTGTCCCGGACGCCCCTGGTTGGCAGTTCTACCACCCCACCTCGCGGCGTGTCCTGGCCTCTCAGGACGTCACTTTTGACGAGTCCGTCCCCTACTACCGCCTCTTCCCCTACCGCACTGCCCCGCTCCCCCCCCCGCCTCTCTTCCTCGCTCCAGGTGCTGAGGTACCAGACCCCCTCCCCCCTCAGGGTGCCGCTCCCTCAGGTGTGTCCCAGGTAGACCCGGGTGAGCCTGTTGAGGTAGCTGTTGACTCTCGTCCTGCTCGGGGTGCTGAGCCTGGGGGTGCTGCGTCTGGGGGTGCTGAGCCTGGGGGTGCTGCGTCTGGGGGTGCTGAGCCTGGGAGTGCTGAGTCTGGGGGTGCGGAGCCTGGGGGTGCTGAGCCTGGAGGTGCGGAGCCTGGAGGTACTGAGCCTGGGGGTGCTGAGTCTGGACGTGCTGAGTCTGGGGGTACTGAGTCTGGGGGTGCTGAGTCTGGGGGTGCTGAGCCTGAGCGTGCTCCACCTGGAGGAGCTCTCTCCTCCCAGCAGCTGCAGGAGAGGTATCTCGAGTACTGCCGCCTCCGGAGAGGTGCTTCTGGAGCTCGTCCCGGTACTTCCCCTCCTTCCCAGGAGCTCCCCCCCATTCAGGTGATCCGCGAGTGGTACACGCGGCGCTGCAGTCTTCGTAGTGGTGCTCCTGGTGCTGCGGACCCGAGCGGTGGTGCTGTTGCTGGTGCTGAGGACCCGGACGCTGGAGCTGCTGCTGGTGTTGAGGACCCGGGCGTTGGAGCTGCTGCTGGTGCTGAGGACCCGACCGGTGGCGCTGCTGCTGGTGCTGAGGACCTGACCGGTGGCCCTGCTGCTGGTGCTGAGGACCCGGGCGTTGGAGCTGCTGCTGGTGCTGAGGACCCGACCGGTGGCGCTGCTGCTGGTACTGAGGACTCGGGCGCTGGAGCTCCTACTGGTGCTGTGGACCCGGGCGTTGGAGCTGCTGCTGGTGCTGAGGACTCGGGCGTTGGGGCTGCCACTGGTGTCCCTGCTGCTTCTGGAGACGCTGCGCGGCCACGACCGTACTTCGTACCGCTCCTTCAGCAGGTTCTTGGTCAGGCTCCTCCTCCTAGTCCTCCTCCCTCCGTCGAGTGTCCTCTGCCTGTCCAGCCGCAGTCCCAGTTACCGCCTGCCTCGCCTCTCCCTGCTCCCTCTCCTTACGCTGGTCCCACAGGAGGTCTTACAGAGCGTCGTGAGCCTGAGTCTCGTCCTGCGTCGCCTGTTCGTACTGCTCGCACTGGTCGTCGTGTCCCACGTGAGCGTCCTCCTCCTGTCCCTGGCACTCACTACATGACTCTGCGTCCCTCCACTGCTCCGCAGCGTGTCCCGCTGCCGTCTCCTCCTGCGTCCTCTCTTCCTACTCTTCCTGACCCGGAGTCTGACTCCCGTCGTGCTGCCAGTCCCACTGTTACGCGTCTCCTCGCTACAGTTGTCACTGACCCGACCTTTGAGTCCTCTGCTGCGTCTGCTCTGGTCGCTGAGTTGGTTGACTTTGCTGCTCGCTGTCGCCTAGACTACGCTGCCAGCCTTGTCGCTGAGTCTGAGTCTGCGTCTGCCTGTCCTCCGTCCGTCGGGGGTGAGTGTGCCCTCGGCACGGACGTCCTTGAGGACAGACAGGAGGAGTTCCACTGCCTTGCTGCTGCTTTGCCCCGTCTCGTGTCCTTGCTAGTTGCCCCTGAGGGAGACCCGGATGCACCAGACATCCCGACCCCACGCTCTTACGCTGAGGCGATGGCGGGTCCCTACTCCTCTCAGTGGCAGACAGCCATGGACGCAGAGATGGCTTCCTGGAAGTCCACAGGCACCTACGTCGACGAGGTTCCCCCTCCTGGGGCGAACATCGTCAGTGGCATGTGGATTTTCAGGGTGAAGCGGCCGCCGGGTTCTCCGCCTGTCTTCAAGGCGCGCTACGTGGCTCGAGGCTTCAGTCAGCGAGAGGGAGTAGACTTCTTTCAGACCTTCTCCCCCACCCCGAAGATGACTACTCTTCGGGTGCTGCTGCACATAGCCGCTCACCGCGACTACGAGCTTCACTCTCTTGACTTCAACACTGCTTTCTTGCAGGGCAGCCTGCACGAGGAGATCTGGCTGCGCCGCCCCCCTGGCTTCACTGGGTCAGTTCCTCCTGGCACCCAGTGGAGGCTTCAGCGGCCGGTCTACGGTCTCCGCCAGGCGCCACGTGAGTGGCACGACACACTGAGGACGACACTTGCGGCTCTTGGGTTCGCTCCTTCTACTGCTGACCCGTCGCTGTTTCTACGCACCGACACCTCGCTACCGCCGTTCTACATCCTCGTGTACGTCGACGACTTGGTCTTTGCCACTGCTGACACCGCGGCACTCGCCCACGTGAAGTCGGAGCTGCAGAGGAGACACACGTGCACAGACTTGGGTGAGCTGACAAGCTATCTTGGCTTGCGGATCACCCGGGACAGAGCACGGCGCACCATCACCCTGACTCAGTCACACATGGTGCAGCAGGTTCTCCAGCGCTTCGGCTTCACGTACTCCTCGCCTCAGTCCACTCCTCTGCCTACCGGTCACTCGCTCTCAGCTCTGCCTTCGGATGAGTCCGTAGAGCCGAGTGGCCCGTATCCAGAGCTTGTGGGCTGCCTCATGTACCTGATGACCTGCACTCGACCTGACCTTGCATACCCTCTTAGCATCCTTGCACGCTATGTCGCTCCTGGCCGTCACAGGAAGGAGCACATGGATGCCGCTAAGAGGGTGTTGCGCTACTTGTGCAGTACGTCGGGCATGGGGCTTGTGCTTGGAGGACGAGACCGAGTTGTTCTCACAGGGCACTCAGACGCTTCCTGGGCAGACGACCAGGCCACTCAGCGGTCGTCTCAGGGTTACACCTTCAGCCTTGGCTCTGGCTCAGTTTCTTGGCGCTCTACACGCTCTTCTTCTGTTCTCGGCTCCAGTTGCGAGGCTGAGATCTACGCTACAGCCATGGCTGCCCAGGAGCTACGCTGGCTGACCTACCTGCTGACCGACCTCGGAGAGCCGCCTCGTTCTCCTCCAGTACTGTACGTCGACAACAAGGCTGCCATTGCCTTGTGTGAGGAGCACAGACTGGAGCACAGAACGAAGCACATCGCCCTGCGGTACTTCCTTGCTCGTGAGCTGCAGCAGCGTGGTCAGCTTTGTATTCGCTACGTGGCCACTGAGGCCAACACTGCTGATGTGTTCACCAAGGCGCTTCAGCCTCGTGACCATCAGCGCTTCTGCACTCTACTAGGCCTTGTGCCTACTGGACCTCACTTACTTACCTCTTGACTTTGCTTGTACTGTGATCACTATATATATCTATACCTGCATGTTTACTCTTGCTAGGTTGTGATCACTGTATCTCTTGCTCTGTTATAAACCTGCATGTGAACTGGTCTTGTGACCACTAGCTTGTGCTCGGAATTTGTGTGGAATCCTCGAGATCCACCCTGAGCTTGTTGTTGCCTTGCTTTGCCTTGACTGGTCTTGTGACCCCTAGGTCTCCCCCACTTTGCCTATGGGGGTTTGTCAAACATTATATGTTTATATGATTGTAGGCAGTAGTGGGTGATACCTTAGGGGGTACACTAGATTAGGGTTTCCTATTTGTATCCATCCTTCTGTTAGTACAGTCATTCCAGTCTCGTCCTTCGACCGTTCGTAACTTTCTCGTCCTTGCTTCGATCGCGACAATTCTTGGTTTGTTGGAAAGCTCTCGAGCAGAGAAGTCACTTCAGATATCTGCTCAAGTCAAATAACATTCACTCACATTAAAATAAATCCAAACCACACCAAACACAAATTCTTGCACACGCTCACACAACGCATGCAACACACGAACATATGATGGGAGGCAGACAGACGTGAATGCAAATGATAGCATCACATAACAGGCTCCGAGCTTTCCAGCGTGGCAAATGGAAGCAGCTGTACCGAGACGCAGTCGAGGCAGTCAACCTCACCGCCACAACATCGGGCCGACGCGACTGGAGTCACCAGCCGAGCCGAGGGCCTAGCGAAACCAGGCAGTCTGTGCCGAGCTGTGCTGGCTCTGGAGTCAACGCCCGTCTGCACACCTAGTCCAGAAATTCTGGATGAACTCCG